CGATCATACTGTTCGGCGACCAAGCGCACTGACTAGACCGACGCCTGTATAGAGGAGCGTACCACGCGGCCTGATTATTTCCCTTTTCCAGCTAAAATAGCTACAGTCCCGAACTCAAGCGATCTACGTGCTGCATGGAAGCACGTCTTCTGTGGGCTGCTTGTCAAGTCCATAGTGTCAACTGTTGTGCGGGCCACAGCAGCTGCTGTTGTGACAATCTTCGCGCATGCTTGCTCGTTCGTCCACAGCTGCTGTTCGACGAATCTCGATCATGCCGCTATTGCTTGCGCGTTCGTCCTCCGTATGTTACCGAACCAGCTTTGAAACCTTTACCTCTACCGTATACCTACTTGCACCCGCCATCACCCAGTCGGGTAAGCATACCACTGCACACGACGACTGCCCGCCTACGTGTGTACAACCAAGAAACACGCATTCTCCTCCTTTGTTAAAAAAACTTTTCAAAATAGCGAGTAGAGTCTACGGACGTCAAGGTACCGAAGTGCACCGGGCGCCCCCCCCCCTCCCCTCCGAGAAAATAGGCAGCAGCACACACCCTCCACCCGCCCTCATTCAACCATCTCACACATTTCCAAAAACCCCGCGCAAGTGATATCATTATCTTTGAAACCAGCGTCACTCAACGAAGCAGACCTTGTTACAGCTTCGTCGCCACCCCTCTCTCTCAACACAGTCTGTACACACTCATCGACAACAGTTAACAATTATGCCCCCCCTCGTGGGGGTGGGAAGGACACATAGGAAGGGGAGAGCCGCTGCCGCCGCTACTCCTGCCCCCTCTTCGACACCCCAGCTGAATCCGGAATTTAATTCACAAATTCACAAGCAAACCGCCTCGGGTGTCTTCTCTTCCCTGTTTGGTGCCTTCCTTTTTCGATGCCGTCGGCAATCCGCCTGCCTTACAATATGCACAGAGTCCTCTCTCTCTCTCTCTCTCTCTCTCTCTNTCTCTTGTTGACAACGCTCGACGACCGATCGCGCCTGTTCGCTTGCCTTCTCTTACTCACATCGAGGGAGGGATGCCAATGAACCTATCCCACCGACCAACCCGCTAGCTAGCGGCTTTACAAAAGCGTAAAACCGCGGCACCGCCTTCCTCTCTCAATATCACTCGCTCTTTGCCCCACGCCCTAAAAAGCACCTTCGTCGCCTAGTTATCGCCGCCACCGCTGTCCATCAAGATCTACACACAACAAATTCGTTTTGTCTGGTGGCGATGGCGCTCCCCGACTATCACCTTTAGCGTGGTTACGGACTCCTTTTCGCCTTACGGCTCCACCTTTTCGCCATCATCCACGATTGCCGCCGCTCCCGCTGCCGCCGCCGCCGCCGCTATGACAGAAGCGTCGCCGCTACCACCACCACCGCCTTCTCTTGCGTAGTTTCCGCCGTCGCCGACTCCAAGTCCTCCTCCTCCTCCTCCTCCTTATCCTCCTCCTCCTCCTTCTCCTCCTTCTCCCCCTTCTCCTCCTCCTCCTCCTCCTTCTCTTTCTTGCCAAGAAGTTGGCTCCGCTTCGGCTGCTGCTATTCTCGACGCTGGGGTCCCCGCACCTGCCGTCGCTGCCCCCCCTCTTTCTGCTGCCGCCGCCCCCCTTCCCTCCGTAGCCGCTCCAGGCGCTGCTGCCTCGTCGACTGCATCGTCATCGGCTGGCAACGTCGACGGTGCTTTTGTTGCTGCTGCCTCCCCTTCCGGGGCTGCGCACGTGGCCAGCTCACCCTGCCCTCCAACTGCGGCTACTGCGGACCCCAACGCCGAAGAAGAGGCAGATGACAGGGGCCCCGGAGAAATTTTGCTCTTTAACTCGTCCACCGCCTGCAAAGAGTGAATTGATTCAATGAGGCGGGGGGGGGGGGGGGGGGGGGGGGGG